GATATTTGTAACAAAACTGGACCAGTGTCGGCATCACTTATATACAAATTACTGTTGTGGGGATTTTCAAGCATGTCTTCAAATGCTAAAAGAGATAAAAGAATGTCTGATTAAGAGAGTTCAAAGACTAAAGTGAAAACATTATGTGACAGAGGTGGTTTCAGAAACGATAAGACTAGTATGCTATTTTGCGACCATGTCAGTCTCACTTCTCATATAAAAAACACCAAAATTCTTGCATAACACTTGTATACTGTAAGTTGACTATATATATAATGCTAATGCTTTTACTTCATAATCTAATAGCTAATAGTATAACCATGAAAATAATAACACTGACTGTGTTTTATTGACAGTAAATATAATTTTCAGGGGCTTATATGTCTCACAAAATACCCCACATTATAAAGTATTCATGACTGAGAAGTATGTAGTTTGTCTTTCATTATCAAATGAAAATCACTATAATGTTTTTAGAAAACAGTTAATAACCTACCTGCAAGGACTCTAGGGTTGTACAAGCTAAGCTGAACCATTGGGTTTTCCATAATGGCCTTATAGATAGGACTTAAAAAATAAACAATTGGATTTTTTAGGTCAGTAATGAGTTGGTGTTGGGGGAGGGGAGGTTGGGGTCTGGTGGAGTGAAAGGTAAATGACATCATTATTTACAAATAACAATACCTTTCTGGATCAAGACCATCATCAATATTTTCCAGATTTCCTTTTTTGTCTCCCAGGAGCCACTCACACTAAAGTCAACATTTACAAAATAAATTGAAAAATACTGGTAATAGAGGAAACATTAATAAACGATTTTGCAGACTTATCAGAAAGACTTGAAAGCATTGAAATTTTATCAAATTTGCATAAACTTACAGCAGCTTCTTGGCTATTCCCAGTCACTTTTAAAGCTATTAGAATCTCCTCTTCTTGGAATCCCATTTCCTTGAGGTTTTCCACGGCCTTCGGTTTATAAATCAAATGTTAGAATGCTGTCAATAATCCAACATGGCAAAAAACAACAACAACAAACAAACACACAAAAACAAAAAAAATTCAACATGGCAAGAAATATCACAGAATGAATCCTATATCATTGTTCAACATTGGTAAAAAAAACCTTTGTCATCCTATGTACTCCAAAATTCAAATTAAATTTAATCACTGTAAACAAGTGAATAACTACACTATAACTTTGTAAGAACATTAGCATTCTCACCCTAACATTAGGTGTAAATTCCTTTCTTTTCCGTCTTGTTCTGYTGTATTTATCTGTAGAGGGA